AAAAAGTATGTTTTTAAAAAGCCAAATCCTACAATTTCTGAACATATACAACCTACCAAGTTTTGGACTATACCAATACTGATCATTTTAGGTACTATCATAATTTGTAATTTTAATTCAAATTATACGATTTATTTGTTTATACATTCAGCAGATCAAACTGCTATGAATAAACCAAATAGAAGAGTTGAAACTCTAATAGTAAAAAGATAGTAAGGCTTCTAAATTTTGTAATTGGACAAATTCTAATAAAAATTAAATACAAAAAAAACAGTTTAATCAAGCTAACCCACCGCAAATAGATATCTGTTCATTAACAAGGTAATAATAAATTTCATATTATATTTTGAAATTTCTAGCTATTTATACGTATAACATATATTTTAAGTCAAGATAGATACTTTTCGAGTTGGGCTCTAGTTGAAAATGAAAAAAAGAATCATCGTGAACCTTGGAAACAGATGACAAAACAAGTAAAAAGCCTGTTAGAAAATATGTTTCATACAGAAACAATGGATAGTAGAAACAAGATATCAGACCAGGAAATGCATAACGAACTGCTAAAACGAGCACAAGATGGTGAACTTGATCCAAGCAACATTTCGAAAGTAACTACAATTAATAACTGAATCGTAACCTTCAGTCAAAAGTGGAAAAAAAGTATGGCAAGAAACTCTTTAGAGATTGCTGAAACCTCTAAAACATCAACATAAAGTAGTTTTATAAAAATTGTAATTTTGACTTACTTTGTGTTAGGCGAATTTTATATAAGAAGTTGGTTTGGAATCTGGTATTTGTACATAGCAAAGTTTTTTTTACGATTATTATTCAAGCTTATTTTTTAACAATAAGTTACTGTTAGTATTTTTCAATAAAATCGTATGATTTGGCATGTGATATAAACATTTTTTGGGAAGTAAGTTCTTTAGCAGATTTTTGTACTTTGGGTAATATCTTAATAGATCTGCAAATTTTCACCCCAAATTATATATAGTAAATAGTGCCAATTATAGATGGATCATCAACTAAGTAATTTCTCAAAAACTACTAATCCAAATTGGCTAAAATTTTAATATGTTGTAGCCAAGTATCACTTTTATCTTTTGTAAAAATTTCATCCAATTTGGATTGGTAGTTGTGGAGAAAATCACAGCCAGAGATAATATAAATATAACTATAAAAAATAATTATAAAAATTAAACTATATATTATTTGGTTGAATTTGATTGGCTAGTTTAGTATCAGGTGGGGAGGGGGGTACCCTTTTAAGAGGTGGAAATCACCTGATAAATGTCTCTACTCTAACTCAGATTACTATATAAATTTACTATAGTGTGAATGTGGCGTGCACACATCTAAAACTTTTTTTTATACTAAGTTAATCATCTTTCTAACTTAAGAGACTTTTGTAGAGCTTGTCAAGATGCATCTAATAGTGGTTAGAGCGTTAAAATCGGATTGGTAAGTGCTGAGATATCTTTAAAAAACGTTTCTTTTACTATCAGTTACACGATTTGTCAAATATAAATTTTTATATAGGATATTTATAACTATAACCGGTGGTGATAATCACCGGTTTCACGTGACTATAAATTACAATTAATTTTTTGTACTATATATTATATTAATCAGTCGTATAACTATCGTGTTACAGTATATAAAATATATAGTTACAATATATAATTTACATACTGAACTTATTAGAAGTGCAAATCGGTTTATTGGCTCTATTAACTATTATAGTTAATGTACAAGCTGATAGAGCCGTTTTGCATTTTTAAAGCTTATTTGCATTTGTGTAATCTTTCAAAAGTTAGGCACACAGATTTTGTATAACAAAAACAAGGAATTAGAATCTGCAAATTCGAACCTGGTTACCCCAATTAGCACTTAGATAATGTGTACCAGGTTTGTGGCACAAACAAATTCGAGTTAGGGTCAGGGTCAGGGTTCTTATGCTGATTTTTGAGCTATGAGCGATTTTTGGCAGAATGAATGTTTTTTTTTAATCTTTCTGATTATGTAATGTACATCTAATCTTTGAACTCGTTCAGGAGATCTACATCACCAACCTGGTATATATTATTCAAGTACCTCAGTTAGTCCACTTAGAATTCCTAAATTGACCTGATTTTTAATCGGTTCTGAATTGATTCAAGATACAACATATTAATATCACCATACATACACTTTATTAATAACTAATGCCAGATATAAATGATATGATACGTTTATATTGTAAGAATGGAACTAAGATTGATTTGAAATCCACTTATACTGTAGAGTTTATATTTATTTACTTAACTTGTTAAAAGATCAAATGAGTTGCCAAATTTAAAACCTAAAATTGAACTTACTATCAGTTACTGGTTTTAATTTAGCAACACTTAAATATTATACAAAGATAGAACAAAACAAAAAACATGTGCATATAATGCAAATCCAACAATAAGAATACTCATGCAAAACAAAAGCTTGTCGACTACAAATGCACTACATACATGTAAAAAGCTTACTTTTAACCCTACTTATTACCAATACACTTTCGAGAATTATGACCAGGATTTCTACATGCTTTACATATATACTTTTGTTTAGCTACATTTTCATTTGTGCTTTGAATTGTTCTGGTAGAACTATTAAATGTTTGATTATTCGAATTGTTGTTAAGTGTACTAAATGGAGTTCTTGTTATTAATCCAGATAAATACTGTAAATTTTGTATTTGCTGTACAGTAGTTTTTGATGTGTTGCGGATATATAAATTAGGATCGCCTGGATTAATTGCACTAGTGTTAGTTTTAGTGCTGTCATGTGAATTATTTTCTGCTAATAACTTGATACGCTTATTTGATGGACGTTCACGCCGTTTCACAACCAAGAGATCCAATATACATTCGCTCTCAAATGTTTTCATTATTAGTATTGCTCATACTAGTTTTCTTTTGATTAATAAAGTCATCAATTATCTTTATAAACTTATCTTCATATCCTATATCAAGTGCTAAATTAAGTGCTTTCTTTGCTTTTTCAAATCCAGATGCATATTTGACTTTTTTTGTATATATTGTTTAATTTCAGGCGTGAAAGTATAGGGTGCTCTAAACTTGTCAAGTATGTGCAAATCAGAAACTACTATGCCATTAGTATTGGCATTCTGAAATACTGTTGTTATTCTAACGGTCTTTTCTTGCAAATTCAATTGATCATTTTGATCATATACACTTTCTTTATACCATCGTGCCCAATATTGAATTTAGCCACTTTCGAATTTATCATAATATTAAAAAAATGTGCACACACAAGTCCATGGTTGATAATGGCTGAACAAGTACATAAGTGCCCTCCGTCAATAAGTAAGACAACATAATGTTTATATACTGCTGTAAGTCCAGAAAGTTCTCATATCTCCAAAATATCAGATAGCTGTATTCCATCTATAAGATAATGAAGTGTTGTTTGCGGCCTATCAAGGTGATCTTCAAGAAAGCCAATATCACAGTCGAGCTGACTAAGATCCTAAAAAAAAAATTCTTAAGCATTTTATTACTTAAAAATTAATAATTGACATCATTATAAGCATACCTCTCATATCGTATTAATTGTCTTCTTAGGAATAAATATTATACAATACAATAAAGACCCAAGTATCTGTTGGCATTGAACAGATAGAATATGAGGAGGTAGATATTCTTTAAGTAACTCAATTACCTCCGGAAATACTGGTTCAATAATAGAAGGCGCCTGATTAACCAGAGATATGAATTATGTTGAGCCCATTTAGCTTCATAATTTAACAATCTTTGTATTGTATCATGTAAATTACATAATGATGATGAACTACTGATGCCATTTTTTATTATTCTATTTATCATTTCGACCCTTTGCGTACTTTGAATCCCAGCTGTGAAGTATTTAACTTGGTAATATTTAGCTCATACTTTATAACAATGCTGTAAAGTATGATTAAGATAATTCTGAGATTGAGGATATTTTTTCAATAAGCGAGTCCAGTGATGATAAAAATCATTCTCAAATAAACTATTCCTGACATAAAGAAATTCTTTATAAAACGCTTTATAATGTTTATCCAATTTACATCGCAAATTCTTATATAAGTTTTCTTGTATATGAAAGAGACAAAGAAAATGTTGAGCAGTAGGCATTGTTAATGCTATCCCTTAAATTGTAACACAGGCAAATTTGCCTGCGAAGATTTTTACTAATTTTTTTAATATTTAAATTTTTT